AAGCAATGGATTCAGGTATAAGCTTCCGCTCTTTTAGATCCTTGTTAATCTCTTTGAATTAATCATGGCTATATGGTTTTAGATCTCAAGTTTTATGATGTAGATCTAACAGGTAAAACTTAATAAATGTTTCAGTATCAGTTTTAAAATGGTGATTCTACGATTTCTTTACTATTTACTTGTTTTTTCATTGATTTTGAATGTTTTATATTGATCTTGTGTAGTGTTTGCATAATAAAACTACTAGTAATAGAGAAAGCTACTAAATTTTTTCTTTATGTACCTACTCTCTTATATTCTTTCAATTATTTGTTATCAGAGGATCATGCATCGATGTTTTTTTTTTATGTTTTCTAATATTATCTGATATTTTATGCGCATTCTTGGTTTGTGTTGTCTATTAATAAAAACATTTTATGAATTTTTTTCTTTAAAATTTGTGTTGGTATTTTTTCTGACGATGGTGTCGTTTTGGGTGTAAGCATTGGGTAAACAAAGCATTATGGGGTATGGCATGTTCCTTTTTATTTTTATGTTTTTCGGGGGCCTGCAAGTAGGTAAGGTTTTGGTAATTGACTTGATGATGCGCATTAGATTTGATAGTTTTGACTTGAAATGAATTTAATATGAATATAAAAACAAGATTTGGTATTAAATGTTAACCAGATCTACGTGCTAGCCACATACTGTTGTTGATTATTAAGTAGGAAAACTATTTGCTTTGACTTTTTCTTTTTGTCTTTAAGTCCAATTGGTTTCCCTAGTTTATCTTTAAACCCTACAACTTTCTTTTGTACCATTAAACATGTTTAACTTTATGTATTTATCTCTAAACACAAGCTTAAAACATAATACATAGATATGTGGGTCTCTCTTAAATTTTTTTGAAAAGCCGATTTTACCCTTTCCCAACCCTCAGCACCTTCATTATCTCTTCTGTGCCTTTCACGTTGCATTTACTGCGATGTAGGGGCGAGAGAGAGAGAAACGGCTGGAATCCCCCCTATTATGAACCTAGCAATTAATGCTCAACCCCATTAATGCTTAGGGTTTGATTGGTTGATTTTAGTGGAGATTCGTCACTTTCTTAGTAATTCAAGGGATAATTTTGCCTTTTTTTGAACTCCAAAGTTATAGCATTACATTCTCATTTTATTTATCAAAATTATTCCACACTTATATTGATGAATTCTCGGTTAGTTGTTACAAATAATACAAATTAATAATATTAAAAAAAGTAAAATCTAAACTTTAGTTTTAGAATTCTCATTTAATTTTAGAATTATGATTTTAATTTCATGATTTTTTTGTGAGACCAAATTATATATCAGTTAAATTTGGTTTTAGTTGACTATACTTGATGAAATTTGCATATTTTTTTGTATTTTTTGTGACAAACATAGATGGATGAAGATTTATATTGTGCAATGATAGATTTCAGAGGAAATAATCATTTTTTAAATTGAATGTCAATGTGAGTGACAATGACTTAGCGGTTGTAGCACAAAGTCTAATTGCTTGTAGTGCAAACACAATGTGCTTGACTTACAAAGACTGACACACTAAAGAGGTTTTTGTGCATGTATGTGATGATGACGAAGATGTGTTGATAATGTTCAATATACATCGAAGTTACAACGAGAATGTAGTTATTATGAATGTTGAGAGGAATCGAGAGGCATTGTTTGGGCAAAAATCTACAACCGTCTATATAAGATAACTTACACTTTTGTTATGCTTTTATTTTATTTTTATCATCAATTGTAGTTTAATTGTCTTTAACTCTTATTCTATTTTTTATTTAGAAACCCATACATCCCCTGTCTTATTGAAGAACATGCTTCTTCTTCACAAAATCATTCGTCTTCACAAAACATGACTTAGGAAATTGGGAGCTCTAGTATGGCACAATGTAATTACAAGTGTTAGTCAAAAATTTGATGATGTTGACTATTATCAATAGAGTTTAAACAATTACTCTATTGCACGAGGCTTCAACTTTGTTTTTATAAAAAATGTACGCAAAAGAGTGACAATAAAATGCAAGGCCACAAATTGTTAAGGGATGGTTCGTTGCACCTGTCGCAGAGATAGTGATCCGTTCTACGTGAAATAACTTGGTCGTTCTCATAGTTGTTTGGGAGGAGGCATAGGAGAGGAAGGGTATAGAAAAGCATATCGTAAGTGAAATGATAATCACCTCAAATTAATTTTGAAGGAACAACCCACTTATCGCCTAATTGCTTTTCAAAAGAAACTTTCTATGAAATTTGGTTTGGACATCCGTTATCATAGAATTTGATAAAGAAAAGAGCTAGCTCAACGTGAATCGTATGATGATACTAAATATTCATATGACCAACTCCGATGGTAGAAGGACAAAGTTATGAAAACTAATCCGGGATCAATTGTTCACTTGAAGCATGAAGATGGGAGATTTACAATTGTATTTGTGTCTTATCATGCTTGTTGGAAGGGGTTTATAGAGGGATGCAGGCCAATGTTGTTCTTGGATGGTACACATCTTTTTTATAGGTATAATGAAGGTCAATTTAATCAAAGCTTACATTAATATACTATATTCTAATTTTCATTAAAACCTATTATGCCTTCATAATAGCATGCTATACTTCAGAAACATATTATATTTTTATTAAAACATACTATTCGTTTGTAATAGCTCATCTTTTTTATAGGTATAAAAGGAACCTTACTTGTCGCAACTGCTCTAAATGAAGATGGGAAAAATAATTTGTATATGCGGGACGGAGAATGGGAGTAACTGAGAATGGTTTTTTGAATGCATTCGAGACTTTCTCTTTATTGATGAAGATCTATATACTCCAAATGATGAGCTAGTTTTAATCTCTGATAGGGACAAAGGACTTTTAAATTCTGTGAAGAAATGATTTCTAGCTATGGTCCTATCACTCTTATTGCATACGTCATCTTTTAGCTAATTTTAAGAATGACTTGTCAAAGAAAGACATTACACCACCTTTATGAGATGAATGCCTAAAAACTATGAAGAGAGCTACTTATACATACACTTCTCGTTCCTATAACAACGAATACAATGAGATACAATATAATTAGAGATTGCCTATAATAAAATGTTGAAGATGAGTCCAAAAAATGGGCTAATTACTACTTTCATGGGGATATGTCAAAATTTTAATTTAGACAGACTTTAATACAAATCATTTAAATATATGTACCTCTATAATTATTTTATTGTAATATGTGTAGATATGGATGGTTAACATCAAACCTAGCGGAGTCATTCAATTCTTGAATCAAAGAAGCTCGTTCTTTACCAATTATGTAAAAAATTAATAATATTCGCAAGAAAATAATGAAGACAAGTTTTGAAAGGCGGACGGCATCCCACAAGTGGAACACGGTATTTGTTCCTACTGTGTAAGAGCGCATCATTCTTATCAATGAACAATTACGTTGTCTCTATGTTACTCCTACTACAGGAAGATTTGAGGTGTATGATTTTCCTACCGTCAAAGTAAATTTGAATGATTACACATGCACTTGTAGCGAATGGCAAGTAGTCCGACTACCTTGCAAGCATATTGCCGTAGTAATTAGACAAAATAACGACGTTTTTTACTCCTATATTTCTCACTACTTTAGTGTGAAGATGTACCACAAATTCTACTCATTTCATGTATACCCAATTCTTAACGATGACAAGTCATATGTAGATGATGAAAATATAGTGATTCAATCGCCAACAATATCGATTCTTTGTGGAAGACTAAGAACAATCATTTTTAGTATTTAACATAACATATAAATACTACTTATAATCTCCAAATTGATTTGTACTTACGATTACCCATAGACTATAAATGTATACGTTCTTTGCATATTTTTAATTTTCCTCTATCAACATATTCACAAGCACAACATATGTGGCTATGACCTGAAACGTACATAGCAAAATAAAATTAGAATACTCACAAGCATTATGCCAAATATACAAAATTACTCACCAAGTTTCGAGAACCAATGTATCAAAAAAATTCATGCAATATTGAAGTGACTGATGAAGGAAAAGACTAATAATTTGACAAGCTAAAAGTTAGGGAAAATCAGTTATATAGTCGCTTCTTAATATTAACCCTCTGTAATTTCTAATAATATCATAGTTGTTAAGTTCTGTAGTTGACTAGATCCTAATTAACTCAATTGAATTCCTAGTTATAGCTTAGAACCAATACAATATAAAGAGTTTATCGAAGTAAAGAGTTTAACACAACATGGTTTATTCTAAGAAGGCACTAATCTAACCAACCATTCTAGTGTAATTAATTAGATTTCTATTTTGAATTTAAACATAACGATTGTCAGCTAGCTTTTGACAATTGAAGCAACCCACTCTGAAAATTTTAACTATTATTGATGATTCATTCATTTTCACCATTACTTGCAATGTGTTTCATTGTCAATATGTTACATACTTAAACAATTCTATAGGAGAATGCACTATTACAAAAGGCTCTATTAGTAATGGTTCAAACTGTTACTAATAAGCCTATTAGCAATGGTATGGACCGTTTCTAATAGATTAGCAACGGTTAAAACCATTGCAATTAGTCCGTTACTAATAAGGCTGTTGCAATTAGCTTATAGCAACGATGTACAACCGTTGCAAAAGTAACAACCGTTACTATTATATTATTTTTTAATAAAAAATAAAAAATCCACGTCAACAAATCTCAACCATTGCTATAATGTATTAACAACGGAAGGCAACCATTGCTATAAGGATTAACTTTTAATTCTATAAAACAATAAAATATTCACGTTAGAAATCCTAATCATTGCTAAAGCATATTAACAGCTAAAATAACCACGTAAATATCATGCTTATTTTCACAATCATTAAAATGAAACAAATAATAACATTTGTAAATAAATTTAAACGCAATTCTATTAAACAAATAACAAGTGTTTGACACGAAACAAATAATAACATTTGTAAATAAATTTAAACGCAATTCTATTAAACAAATAACAAGTGTTTGACACATGTTTTATTAACAAATCCAACAATATGCTAATTACAAAGCCTGTACTTCTTTAGGCCATAGGTTTACATGGTTCATCGCTCCACACTCTCGAACTCTAAATTTGAAATGCAAATCTAATAAATTAAAACCTACCCATAAGACCTACAGCAGAAAAGAAATAAACCATGATTATGTAGACTTGAACAATAAAGACTACAGTGTGCCTATGTCTTATCAACGTTGCAAGCCTTTCCTTCATCACGTCTCTGGCTTCTTCTTCCCACTGCATCGCACCAAACTAATCTCCCCTTCACCATCTATCACCTTGCAACCTCCATCCATATCATGTCATGCCTGCCAAAAGTAATAGAAATTTAGAAATAGAAAAACGAAAATTCAAGCATTTACAGATTTTAATAGTTATTGACATTATATTCACAAATAGTTATAGTTTTAAACATATTCATGTATAGCATCAAAAATATTATACAAAAGGATAACACAACTTCAAATACGTGAATACCATTACATACGAAAAAACACTATAAATAATGTCAAGTGGAGTGAAACTTTATATTGATCTAGGCTACACATATTTGTACACTCATTTTCCGAAAGGACGTTCCAGGGCATTGTCACTAACATTCTCTCAAGGCTCACAATGAATTTTTTTAGATTAGGCAATCTTAGAGGCATGAGCACCAACGCATTTTGAGTAGATAGAGCTCCTATCCATTTCTGCAGGTTAATATTGTATTAAAAGATATAATCATATAATCATGAACCACTCATGACATACATATTAACTAGATGTTTTCATATTATCAATATGATATCAAACCAAAATCCTTATATTTAAGGAATTGCAAGTAAATATTATGTCAGAATACTCAAGATAATTTTCATAAGATTGATGCCTCAACATATGAGGTTTCATGGAATAATTATTTAAATGCTAGTAACAAGCAGAAGCTGACACACACCTGACTAACGGGACTTCCTTGATATGTCTCATATGTGCCTTCTTTTGCGGCAATTTCTGAAGAAGCTTTTAAAGCATGATAATATATTGTCTCAAATATGTCCTTGTTCAGCTTTTGAGCCTGCATAGACAACAAATGCTACTTACATTTTGATTTAATAGCACTGAAATCAAGAACCCTTGAGGAATCACTTAAAATTAGCAACTACCTCTTGTGAATCAAAAAGGCATCAGACAAACCCTGGACACCAATGCCAAATGGCCTATGCCTCATATTCGATCTTCTTGCAGTTTCAACAGGGATTCAATTGTTCAACATGCAATAAACAATAACCCTAAAATTAATAAAAACATCCAATTTCGAAAATTACAAAATAAACTACATTAAATTAAAATATCTTGAGAAAGCCATTGCTCCCTCATCGCATCAAGCTTACACTGCTTCAATTTCGCCGACCTATTCGCCTACAAACACCCAAACAAACAATAAATCCTCAAAAAATCCAAAAAATGCCCCAAAATTCGATTTTGGAATTCGAACCGAGAGCTTACCATCTTCTTCTTCCCGGTTTCCCTCGCAACCGCGGGAACCACAGGAGTGTCGTTGGCCATGGCGTCGAATCCCATCTCCATAGAAAACCCTAACCCTCAAAAAACACTACAGAGAAGAACCCTAATCGGGACCAAAGACCAGAGCATTTCGACGTTGACGGCGGGTCAGTAGAATTTGTTGCGGAGCCTGTGGAAGTAGCACATGCCGACCTTGCCGAAGTAACCGAGGTGGTACTTATCGAAGAGGATCCGATGGTGGTGCATCCCTCTGGCGTTACCGCAGTCGCCGGGGTGCTTGCAGTGCTTGCCGATGTGGCCGTGGCCGGCGCTGACGTGGATGCGCTTCTTGCGGTTCTTCTTGAAGCAGGTGATCATGGCAGCGGTGGCAGGAGGGCTAGGGTTAGAGCTTTGAGGGGGCGGAATCAGAAGCGAATGAAACTTTCTATATGAAAGGGGTCGTTTTACTTTTTTTCTCCAATTTTAGGCGCCCTAGAATTCCCCCTAACTTCCCCCAATTTTTTGCCGCCCCTAATCCTTCCCTTTCTTTTTTCCGCAAGCGAAAATCATACGCACGATTTACTTCCCTTTTCTCCAATTTTTTAACATTGCGAAATCTTCTTTAGTTTCTGTTTGAATCCACATTGGATATTTAAGATTTTACATAGTTTATTTATAACAATTTTTTAAAGAGATTTAATTCTTATTAATTAGAGAATCGTTTCTAATAAAAACAAACCACAATAACCATTGCTAGTATGTTCTAATAGCAACAGTTAAATAAGATACCGTTGCTAATAGGAGCATTTGTAGTAGTGGTGTTAGACTAATTGTTTGCGTCAAAAGTTGTTATTTTCATTGCTATCGAATCTATTACAACTTTAGTCATTATAATAAACTCGAATAAAATAAAAAGTTGATCTTTTTATAAGATCTCCTTACACAATGAAAATAAAAAAAATTTACAACTTTATCAAACAAACGCAGGTAGATCGTTTATCAGTCTTCTGCTTGCGTGGGTGTCTTTGCCTGTGCCAGGGTTTATCCGTGGACCACCTTTGATCAGATCCGGTTGTTAAAAAATTTGGCAGAGCTCCTACCTCACCAAGGAGGTATTTGCTTGAAGCGCTGAAATCGACCAAGCGAAATCAGTAGCTCTTCTCGAGATTAAGACCAAACCTAATCTCGAGGAACGGACGGGAACGGGCTTCTGATCTCTCGAACTCTCCTTCTTTATGCCGAAGAACTCGCTGAGATCTGTCAACCCTCGCTAAAATTCGTGCTCTTTTGACTCTTTAATCCAGCAGCACCTCCTCGTCTTGATAATTAATCCCCCCTTTTGAAATGAGCGCCCGAGCCCGTATTTATAGGCTTCGGGTGTGGGGTTTTTGGATGAGAATGAATGATTCGTCCTTATCTTCAGTGAATAACTGATTAACCATGTTAGGGGATGATATCAGACCAGTTTGGATGCTCATGAACGACCAAATCCCGAGAAAAACCGTTAAAAAACTGAACCGGGGTCGAAACAGCACGCGCGGGACAAATCTGACCCGCGCTTACGTGGGTCGGATCGGATCTAACCCGACCCGCGGTTACTGTAGCAAATCCCGACCCGTGGTCACTGTAGCGAAATTCCGACCCGCGGTTACTGTAGCAAATTCTGACCCGTGGTCACTGTAGCAAAATTCCAACCCGCGGTTACCGTAGCGAAATTCTGACCCGTGGTTACTGTAGCAAAATTCTGACACACGCGGTCACTGTAACGAAATTCCGACCCGCGATTACTGTAGCAAAGCCGACCCGTGGTTACTGTAGCATACTTCTGACCCACGGTTACTGTAGTGAAATTCCGACCCGCTGGTACCGTAGCAAAATTCCGACCCGTGGTTACCGTAGCAAAATTCTGACCCGCGGGTACCGTAGTAGAATTTTGACCAGTGGTTACTGTAGCAGAATTTTGACCCACGATACTATAGCAGAATTCCGACCATCGGGTACTGTAGCAGAATTTCGACCCACGGGTACTGTAGCAGAATTCCGACCCGCGGTTACTGTAACAGCCTTAACTCATTCATCTGTCCTCGGAATGAGGCGATTCATGATGCGTTGGAAAGCTGACGAGAAGATCTACAAGCTCCCATGATTAAATCATATGTGGAATAAATAGGAACGAGGGGTGCTCTGCCTTTTGTAAACGACACGGGGCTCCCGATCAGCTCTCATTTCCGTTATTCCGAAGTTCCGTTGCTTCGTATGACCCGTCGACTCACTTCATGTGTTTGTCGTTGTCAAACGAGCTCCTGTGACTCTAATAGTGATATTTATCATCTTCTCTCTATCTTGAGCCGTATGCGGACACCCATAGGCATTTTTAGACGCCTACAGATACCCCCTCCAAAGTATTTCAGACTCATTCTTTTATAGAGGAGTCTGGAATGCTTTGGATAAGATAGGCCATCTCCTCAATTTCGTAGAGTGACCTTGAACTACCTCAATTCTTAACTTCTTCAGCCTTCAATCTATTCATTGTTTCGTCCAATAGATGAAGTTCTTCCGGTGCTGCGTTTATCGTCTGACCGTTGTCGAAATTTTGAACTGAGATTGGTGTGTAAGTTTTTGAACTTAGCTCGTGCCATTGAGTTGACTTTGAACTAATCATCTTCGTCAGAAATTCATATCTGAATCCGATTGAACTCCCTGAAATCATCATTTGCCTTAGTTTGGCGAGATTGCTGATGCGTTGACCGGCATCGATCTTTACTGTAACGCGTTGTGTGGCGTTGACTTTTGTCGTAACGCATTGATCGGCGTTAACACAGTTTATACTCGTACGTTTGCTGGAGTCTACACAGTTTAAGCTCTTAAGGCATTGGAGCGTGGCGGTCCCAAATGTTGGGCTGCAGGACCAACTATTGAAGCTGATTCATTTGCGTGTATGGATCTTATCCCGAAGTTGTTGGATGCTCAAGTCACGAGACCAACTAATGAAGCTGATGCGTCGATGAATTGCATTTATAGAATTTTTGGCAAATTCTCAGCCATCAACGGGTTTGATGAGCCTTTACCGACTACCGTTTGAGTCGGGCTAGCATGCGGATTGTTTAAGTCCATTCCGCATGTGACATTATGCTAAAAGAGTTAACCCTTTTAGTGCTACGATATTGAATACGTAGACTTCGTCTTTCTCTTGTGAAAAGACTAAACAGCAACGTGTATCAGACGTTGACTTAGGATTTTTGGCAAATCCTCAACCCTCAACGGATTTGATATGTTTTTATCGATTACCGTTTGAATCGGGCTTACATGCAGATTGTTTTAAGTCCGTTCCGCATGTGACGTTGTGCTAAAGGAATGAACTCCCTTAGACTTGATGCTACGAGTTCGAATACGTAGACTTCGCCATTGTTACGGGAATAGGCTACCCGGTAACGTGTGTTAGACGCTGACTTATCCCTACTTAGGCTTCGGGATAAAGTCCCCAGACTAGCACTATGGTGTCTTCTTCAATAGGTAAAAGACTAAACCGGCAACACGTGTTAGGTGTTGGCTTATCCCTACTTAGGATTCGGGATAAAATTCCACGCGCGTGTAAGACGCGGATTTTGGTGTTATTAATAACAACTCGCCACAATGTCAAATTTGTAGGCTTTTGTCCTTTTTACGGTAAAAGACTGACCGGCAACGCGTGTTAGGCATTAATTTATCCCTACTTAGGATTCGGGATAAAATTCCCCGTACGTGTGAAGCACGGATTTTGGTGTTATTAATAACAACATGCCATAATATTGAATATGTGGGCTTTTGTTCTTTTTTTACGGTTAAGAACTAACCGGCAACGCGTGTTAGGCATTGACTTATCCCTACTCAGGATTCGGGATAAAATTCCCCATACGTGTGAAGTACGGATTTTGGTGTTATTAATAACAACCTGCCATAATATTGAATATGTGGGCTTTTGTTCTTTTTTTTTTTACGGTTAAGAACTAATCGGTAACGCGTGTTAGGCGTTGACTTATCCCTACTCAGGATTCGGGATAAAATTCTCCGTACGTGTGAAGCACGGATTTTAGGAGTTTGAAAAAGTGGCGTCTTCTCTTGGGGCAAAGACGAACCCGATACGGGAGAGGAATAATTTTATATTCTATCTTCCAAAGCTGAAGAGGAAGAATTTTATATTCTATCTTCAGTCACAAAAGAAAACTCAAAGTGGGATCTCCACTTTAAGAATCCGGGAAGGTGAAACTAAGAGTGGGATCTCCACTCCGAGAATCAAAAAGATTCGAATAATCCTAACTGTCGGAAGGTTTGATTATCGAACTAAAAGGTGGGTTTCTCATTTATCGAGAGTGAATTGGGGTTTTGATCTTAACTGTAGGAAGGTTTGACCAAACGGGAGTTTGAGGTGATCCTAACTGTAGGAAGGTTTGATCACTTGATTTGAAAGTGAACCTCTCGTTCATTGGAGGAATCAAAAGGGGATTTTGGTTTTGGCCCTAACTGTAGGAAGGTTTGACCGAGTGGGAGGTTTGAGACGATCCTAACTGTAGGAAGGTTTGATCACTCGATTTGTGGGCCTCTCGTTTATTAGAGGAATCGAGAGGAGATTTTGGTTGTGGTCCTAACTGTAAGAAGGTTTGACCAGATAGATAGTAGGAGTGGGAGTACAAATCTTGGTGGGAGTGTTGACTCGTACCGATTACTCAATGGGGATTCTTGGTGTCAAGTGATAAGAACTTAACACGAAGGGGTTTGATAATTTGTCAATGATTAAGACATTAAAATTCCGAGTACCATGTCTGGACTCTAACATTGAGGATGTTGAGTGCACAGATACATCGAAAGTTTGAACGGATTTAACTGGAAGGAATTTTGATGGTCCCACCGTCAATTAGTCTGATCGGTGGGGGTTTTGTGTTTATCACTTCGTTTGTAATGATCGGGTTATCCCTAAGAAAATTACATGTAGCATTCTTCCGGGAACTTCCCGTTACATAAATCATTCACCCCCAGCTTCCTTTGCGTAACTGGTTCAGACATTGTATTTAGTTACATTATCGGGTTATCCTTAAGAATATTATCATAACATTCTCCAGGAACTTCCATTCAAAAGTGGGAAACAATTTAGACTCGTGTGCCTATTGGAGTATTAAGAAGCAGTTTATACTCGTATACTTGTCGGAGTGTCGAGAATCAATTTATATTCTTATACTCTTCGGAGTGTCGCCATTCTCATGGCTTATCCCAGCGTTATGACGCCGGCTTCAACCAAGGTTTGGATACTATTTTTGAGAGCAAAGCAATCCTTGGTGGGATGAAGGACCCTCCTGTGGTACGCACAGTATCTTGGATCCGTAGTATTATCAGCTTCCTCCTGATTTGTGATAGGTGGTAGCTTGATCTTGTTATTTTCAAGGAGTGATTCGAAGATGGCTGGAACGTCTTCATCCTTGAAAGAGTACTCTTTTTGGAGTCTCAAATCCGAAGTGTTTCGCTCTCTCCGGGATTGCCGTTGCGACGTCTGATTAGCGTCAATAGCTGCTGCAGGTGTTTTGCCCTTACCACGGGAGGCGAAGTTTGAGTTCGGAGGATTAGCCGTCGGTTGGCTCCTCTCGGTCTTCTTCCTTCGGAGGA